ACATTTGAAAAAAACTGAATTACATTTGAAAAAAACTGAATTACATTAGAAAAAACAGAATTACATTTGAAAAAAACTGAATTACATTAAGCCAATCTGGGGGTGACAGGTATTTTAGAGTAACAGGGTGAACAGTTGACTCAGGTACTCAATTTATTTTTAATAATTTAAGCATAAAACATGTTTTGATATCATATAAAGTCATTGGATGAGAACTATTATAAATAGTACTATTTAAAAAAAATAAAAAAATAAGTTTTTATTACTTAGAATTGTAACTTAATTTCAGGAAGCATGAAAAGGGACATGGCAGGAAACCCAAGTTGCATTTAAAATTAGATTTAATTATTTAAAATAAATTCATCTTGTGTACATGTGGTTGTGTTTTATAGTAGAGCGGAGTGAAACATAAAATGAGATTAATAAAATAAATGTTAGCCCACCTTTAAACAAAATATACCACATTATGGCATGGGGACTCAAAAGGCACCAAACAGTAAGAATAACCTTACAGAACATTGTTTTGTTTCATGTTGTTACTAAAGTAAAAAAATATATAATAAAATCCACCATTTCCGGTTTGGTTAAAGTAATTCCATTTTGTTGAATGTAATTTTGTTTTTTCAAATGTTGTTTATTTAAACCTCAGGGCCACCGTAGCATAATTGTGCCCAGTTAGACTGAAAGAAGCCGAAATGATCATAAAAAGAGTAAAACATCTTGGAAAAAATAGAAATTTGCAAAAAAACAAACAAAAAAATGAATAGTTGCTATAAAAAAAAGGCAGAGAAAAGCTTAAATTACAAGGAAGAAGCTGAGAGGACAGTTGTGCCCAATTTGGCTAAAAGAAGCAGAAACAAGTACAAAAAAGTTTGAACATTTTCTGAAAAAAAGCCAAAATAGAAAAAACCAGCTGAAAAGTGGCTAAAAAAACGGAATGAAGCTTAAATTACCAAAAGGACGTGGGGAAAGCAGAATTGTACCCAATTAGGCTATAAAAAGGCAGAAATGAGCACAATACAGTGGAAGATATCGGAAAAAAGCAGAAATTTACGAGAAAAAGCTGAATAAGTAGCCAAAGGAGCAGAAAGAAGCTAAAATTACCAGAAGTATGTGAAGAGAGCACATTTTTGCTGAATTAGGCTGAAAAAGTTTAAATGTGTGCAAAAAAATGTGGAATTGGCTGAAAAAGCTAAAATTAGCACAAAAACAGCTAAATAGTAGATGAAATAGTAAAAAAGTTGAAACTTGCATAAATAAGCTGAAAGGAGTATAACCAGCTGAAACTAGCAGAACGACATTAGAAGAAGAAGAAAAATGTTGTAGTTAGCAGAATAAAGCTGTAAGGAGCACCAAACAGCTAAAAACAGCTGAAATCAGCAAAACGTAGCTGAATTTCTTTTAAAATTTGTACAAGGAAGCTAAAAGAAGCTGAACCAGTGCAAAATGTGAAAAACAAATCTTATGATTTGAAAGATGTAAAATGAGTCTAAAAAAGTGAAGTCAGGTCCTCTGGAGGGGTTCAAAAAACAAAAACTTGTAGAAATGTTTCATCTTTCATCCTGAGGACTTCCTCAGTCTGAGGTGCTGTATTCAGCTCAGTCTCTTAAATAGCACCTTCTCAGAGTGGATCAACCAGTTTGCTGCTGACAACCAAAACCAGCTGATCACATGCTCAAGAAGGTCCATCAGCCTAACATGTAAGATGTATGGGATGTAAAATGAGCTTAATTCATTTTCTATGAGGAAAAAATAAAACAAGAGAAAAGGCTAAATATTTCAAAAAGCTAAAGTAGCACCAATGCCAAAAGTCATATTAGGATTGTCCTGAAAGAGCTGAACGTTTCAATTTATGATTTGTTGAACTAGATCAAAAACTGCGGGATGAGAACAATGCCAAAAAATGTATGGAAGAAGTATCGTGACTATAATTTATTCAGTTCAATTCAGTTGATTTCTATAGCGCACAAAATGTTATCTCAGGGCACGGAACAGACAAGGTTTCTGTACAGTTCCTGCACTCCACTTTTAAATGTCTAATTTATAAGAAATATAAACAGGATCACAATAAGCATTCACACAATAAACACACTAAACTTTGTGTTGCTTTTCTAGGATTTTTTTCTTTGCGGTTTTGAAATATGTTTTAGCAAAACAAGTAAATAAAACCTGATTTGACTGAAATGTTCTTGATAAAT